AACACTGCAAGGTACAGGATAGCTCTTGGAAAAGAACCCTTGTGGGTGGTTAAAGGCATTTCTGAAGATCTGTTAGCATTAATTTGTCATTGTATGACAGGAAACAGTTAAAATTTGTTTTCAGGTGTACTGACCTTTTTGCTAATTGCCATGATATAGTAGTCACCTGTGACGTCCATGGTTAGGAGAGAGGTGGCACTCTCAATGGTGTCACTCAGTGTGGTGCGCGTTCCTCAGTAACGCTGTATGGTCATAAATTGGTGGTGTGAACTGCTGCTTGTCAGCTTGGCCTATATCCAATCTGATAAAGGTGTGTTGTGTGTTTTTTTTATGATGATTTCCCTCCTTTATAGCTGTATTTAAAAAAAAAAAAAAAAAAAATAAAGAAAACACACAGTGTTAAGAAATACTGTTAAAAATGCATCTTTATTTTTTCCCCTTACCTGCAGGGTATTTTTATATATGAGGTAAAAGAATTTTACTTTCTCAGTTTTTTGAAATGGTGGTGAAACATATAGAAGCTACCTTTTGGGGAGTGGTGGGGATGAGGAGCAAAGAATTGAGGTGAGGTGGGATGTTCCTGGTGCTGACTGACTTGCAGCATTGCTGCTGGGAGTCTCTGATATTTGATCCGAGTTCCTCTGAGACCTGACAAATTTGTAAGCCGTTACCTTTAGCTGCTGCTTTGATTGTGGGTGCAGACTGCTGTGTAACGAGATTCGTTCTGAAAATAGAGAAAAGAGCAAGAATGAAAAAGTGCGTCTAAGGAAGCAGGAAAAAACAAGACCAAGTAAGGAAGGATATAAGTGGAAATTTGAAGTGCCGTGGCACGGGGTGGGGGATGGGGTAAAAATTGGGCCACGAGAGCGGGGCTCCTCAGATATGACTCCTTTTTGCTGCTGCTAACACATACCAGTTCTGATGGCCCTAAATCCCTGGGACAGGAAACTTGGGCAATGGGAGTGCCATGCTGCAGAGGTAGCTTCGGCAGTGGCTTGAGGCTACTGTACGCTATCTTATTCCTTGAAAGTCATATGGAGGTGAATGGCCTACAACGTAACTGCAAGCTCCGAGTTGGAAAGAAACTTTCCCTTTTTTACCTTCTGCTGGCAGGTGGACTCAAAGTCCCTCAGCCTCAATGCAGACATGGCATCATTAGCAGTGGAATTGTTCTCTTGTTGCTATTTCTTCCCTCTCTTTCCCCTCGTAATGTTTTTTTGTCCGTTAGTCCCCAGTTTGCTCTCTGTTTTCTCCCAGCACATGAATTCAGCAGCTCAAGACAGTTATGCATAGAAATACAAAACAAGTTGTTTGTAGGCGGCAGAATTAATCTAGCCTGTATCTCCCTAACAGCATTCCTACCAGACGAGATTGTGTGCGCTATGGCCGGTGTAGAGGCATATGTTTCTGATTTGTTTGGCAGGCTCAAGCTGTATAGGTTAGAGAGTTTTTTTGCCAGCGCTTGTTTCAGCTAAGAACTCATTTGGTTCTTTTCCCTGCGCTCAGTTGCTGATTTTCATTAAACTTGAAAAAATCTAAGAGAGATGAGAAAGCCGCTTTCAAATTTAGCTGATGTTGGCCCAGAGGCTCAAAAGTTTGGACTGTGAGTTCCAGCTTTGAAGAAGTGTGGACACTGTTGCTCTAGTAGTTCTTGGCAGCCTTGGGGTGGAGGTAGGGGGACAAAGCTAAGGTTGCTGGTTTAGTGCCTGGTTTCTCTTCATTCCTTTTTTTAGTTCCTGGCTAGAAGGTGTGAAGCAGTGTTGTCCAACCTCAAACTCTTAAGTTATCTGCTAGAACTTGTGATTCTGCTATATATCTTCACGATATTGCTTCAGTTCCTAGAGCGATGTAATTGTGTGACAGCCTCCACCCCCCCCCCCCCCCCCCCAAAAAAAAAAGGCAGAAAAAAGTCTGGAAACGTGAATGCTAAAAACCGTGAAAGGGCAACCTCACTGTTTTGGTTGCTACAATCCCATAAGAATTTTATAGGGGGGTTGGCAATCAGTCTCTGGACTTGTGGGGGACTGGCGGTATTGTCGTTCTGTAGCTTCTCAAGCTGTCAGAATGCTTCATGATTTTTGCCTGTAGCTGCTTTCAACTGTTTTAGATGTGGCTGGGTTGTTTTTTTTTTGTTTGGGGTGGTTTTTTCTCCTCTCTCTTATCACAGTTCATTGGGCCGCTTCTTCCGTGTTTATTCTGGTCCTTTTTTGGCTTAAGTGGCCAATTGCTTTGAGACAGGTAATTAAAATGCATGTGAAATATCTTTTGAATTGGAAAGCATGCAAGCTGAAACATTTCTTAAAACATTCTTAGTTTTTGGAAAAATGACTATACAGTTCCAGGAAATGTGGTGCTTTACACTGAAAATAACTGAGTTTAAGTAATGGAAGGCAAAGAGGAGGGGAAATAGGATGAGGAAGAAAAGATGGGAGGGGGAAGGAACATAGAAAAGTATAGGTTATGTCCTAGACTAATATTTCAGAGGAGACAATGGCCATACTCGGCCTAGTAGGGCTCAAATATTTTAGTAATTCCAAACTCCTGCAGGCAATTTTACATAATTCACCTATATAAGTAATGCTAGTCAAATTGATTTGTAACACCAATTTCTGACACTGAAATTGGTGAACTAGTAGGCTCCAGAAATCTCAAGCTTATCTTATGTGTCTGCACTGAAAACTCGGTGCTGATTTCCCCCCCCCTCCCCTTTTTTTCCCCTTTCTTTCTTTCCCCTTTAGCTGTATCACTCTCGTGTGAACTGGCTTAGGATGTGACCCTACCTAAGAATTTCCAGAAGTTCCTACCTTCCCCTTCTCTTTTTCTGTGCCCAGATACTGTTGTCAAACCTTAAAAGTTGCAGTCTTGGATCTGACCAAAGTTCGCATTTGATCCAGTATCTTGTCTGACATAGCGTAAGCTCAGGGCACACATCCCTGCCTGGGAACATTGCCCAACTGCTGGTGGGCAGCGCTCTACGGACTGGCTAGGCCAAAGTCAAGGCCATCGGGTTAAGGGTTGCTGTTAGGCCTGTCCTCTGTTATGTTCCCAGCTGCCACACAGTTTTGTGGAAATGAATGAAAACTTTCATGAATTTTGTGCAAAAGCTACTACCTTCCGATTTTTGAAACGGTATCTAATTATAGGAGTGTAAATTATTGCCATATTATGCCTAAAATCCAGGGTGTAAGGGTTTCTTGTTCATCTCTTCTTAGTGTTTCATTTATACTCCAGTAGCACCTGAGACCTACTCGGGGCTTGAGATCTCATTGTTAGTTGTGAAGCATACAAAGAAGAAAAGCTCTTGATGTATGGTTCAGTCCTACAGTTCAGTAAGACTTGATGTATGGTTCCTAGCAGGTCACAAAGTTGCATTGACCTCATTTGTATTGTATTTAGAGATGCTGTTAGTTCTTGCAGCATATTGTGCATCAGCATGATGATTATTAGAAGAAAGACTATAAATTTCGAATGAGAAATTTAGAAACTTAGCTTGCAGCTGATCACCAAATATGCTTAAATTTATCTTACCTTTCAACAGTTGAGGCAAAAGCAGTGAAGCTAGACTTTGTCGCTTGAAGTAACATAACCTCCTAAATGTTTAAAGCTATATTTCAGGAAAAAAAGTGGCATAAGGCTGTAAGGGACTGGAAAAGGTCATCTTGTCCATCTTTTACCTCCAGATACCATCACCTAAGCCTAATTCTGTAGCAGGTGTTGGAGCTGCTGAGCACTTCCAGTGAGAGGCACGTGGCAAAAGCTCTGTATAATCTGTTGCTGCAAATGCACGTAGCTTACAAAAAAGATTTCTTCCGTTATATGGACTTTCAACATTTTTACGTCAATTACTTTTGCTAGCCCTTAGGTTTTTAGTGTTCAGGTAATGTCTTCATGTCTCAAATAGTCAAAGACTTTTAGTGAGTTGTTTAACAATTGATTGGTAGCTTTGGGATCATTTAGACTTTGTCAGTGATGACAGACAGATGAGCAGGATGTATTTACTTGTTTAGTTTAATCATCCCTATCTGTTGCCTGTGATTTTTGTAGAAGGGCAGCGTAAAGGAACGAGGGCAGTGAGAGAGAAACTTCTCTAGAAAGTAAAGCCACTCAGCCGAGCAGTGGGGGAAGTTTTAATTATTAATTCAATATTTAAGAGTCTGCAAAGTGTTTCTGGAGAAGTGTGTGTGTATATGTAGCCCATAGGCTTTTTCTCATCTTCTTTCTCCTCTGTCATGAACCTTTTAATAGTGCATTTACATTGTACATCTAGTGCAATCGCCTTTGACACTGCTTAATCATTTCAAATGAGTACTAGTCTTTAAGCTTGAGCAGCAATCATCCATGCCACAGAAGTTTTGTACAGTGAGCCTAAGAGTTCCTGAGAAGATTGTTGGGCCCTACCTCTTACTGATTTTTGCTGTGCCAATTACGTACCATGTATGTTTACTCAAGAAAACTGGTTCTTACTGTTTCTTTCTGAGTTGGGACAAATGTTATGTTGGGGTGATGTCTCTATTTCATTCTCTGAAGTAGTTGGTGGACTGGTAAAATCTTTTAGAAAAAGCAGCCTTAGAGGTGTAAACTTGGGAAGCTGAAACAATAAAGAATTTCAATCTTAGTCAAATAACAGAATAACAAGAGTTGTCCTCTTGCAGTCTTGTTTCAAATACCGAAATGCTATGTAGAACTTGATGCTGCATCCATATCTGTAGAGATCGCTTTCCTTTTACAGGTATTAACGATGTGCTGGGAGTCTAAACCATGGTACTAGTAGGTATCGAGTGTTTTAGAAATAGAAAGCAGAAGCAAACTGCAAGGTTTTTTTTGTTCAAAAACAAAACAAAAAATCCTCTTGTATGTATTTTCTCTACTTTGTAATAAAGTGTTACAGTACACTGCTCTGTTCTTCCTGATCATGGTCAGAGGTGTTTGTATAGTGAAATGAGTCTGATTATAATATTTACATGGAAGCTGTGTGTAACAAATATTCTCTTATTCGACAGGCCATCAGCTGTAAAGGTCAGCACAGTATCTCTTACACGTTATCCAGAAACCAGACTGTTGTAGTGGAGTATACTCATGATAAAGATACAGACATGTTTCAGGTAAGACTCTAACAAATGCATCCTTTTTAAAAAGCAAGGTTGGGTGTTCTGTGTTCTGTGGAAACTTTATGGCTAAACTTGATTGCCCTACTCTAGGAGCACTTTGAAATTTTGCGTTGTCTGGTCTTCTCAAATGAGTGCCAACATCTGTTAACATCTGTGCTATTTTTGCTGTACTTTGCTTTTTCTGCAAGGGCGTGTAGCAACTGTACAAATAGCACTGAAGAAATGCATGGTGTGTTTAGGTTCATTAATAATCACAGAAATGCACACCTTCTCCCCATCTCCCAGTTAATCAAGGGGCTGGAGTAAAAAGGAAGTGATTAGGAGTAGGACATGTGATGCTGAAGGAGGAAGGGTGGGAGGAAGATGGAAAGGGATGTAGGAGCTGTGCACTGAAGGAGACAAACTGAGAGGCTGTGGAGTCTCCATCCTTGGAGACTTTCAAAAGCCATCTAGACAGGGTTGTGGGCAACCTGCTCAAGGTGACTCTGCTTGAGCAGGGAGGGTTGGGCTAGATGATCTTTAAAGCTCCCTTCCAACCTCAACTGTTCTGTGATTCTGTGAACTGGTGAAAGAATGCTAATGAAACCTTCTCCCTGAAGGGTGAAGTAGTGTATCAAATGGTGTAGGAGTCTGAGTTTCTCTAAACTGCTTATATGCAATGTTTTCCCATGTATGCGTGTGGGTTTTTCTACTTTGCCTAGTATACTGGTAGCTTAAGTTATTCTCTTACACAATGCTGCTCTTGGTATATAATACGAGAGATCAGAAATTCTGTACCAACTAAAACTTCAGGCCTGAAAAAATAAGCATGTACAACCTTCTCCAATCAGACTAATCATGATTGTCTCTTCAGTGACCTCTGCAATTAGAACATCTTACCGTGAATTATCCCTCTTCAGTCTATCATATTTGGAAGGTTCAGCAGTTGAGTGGTGTTGATATAAGAAGAAAGGCTCTACCTGTCAAGATGAAAATATTCTTGCTTCATGTGGCTTCTGTTTTTTTTACTCTCTATAAAACTTTTCCAATTTGACTTGGTAACCTATGAATGATTAGGTCTGAATAGTGACTGATAGACAGTCTTATGTGCTGCTGCATGAATGTATAGTTAGAAAAATATTGCACGGCTGGAGTGAGCTGAAATAGGCTTATCTACGTTGACTAGCAACAGGAAAACATAACCCATTCTTCTGGGTTACTGTGATATTTGTGCATCTCTGCAAGACTTTTGTTTTCTTGTGCTTTGAGTTGCTCCAGTGAAACTTTTTGTGTGTGTTACTAATTTTGAAAGCTGGAATTTTTCCACTACTTGTGTACGTTAACATGAATAAAGAAGAGTTGCAGAACAGCTGCTTTTCTGTTTATATTGTAAGAGACAGCTCTTCCTGAATGCACAATCTCTTTGTGGTAGCTACAGCATTTACTTTGAGGCGGGGGGGAAAATATCAGTAAAGAAGGAGGGTGGGGATTAATTGTCACTTTAATGAAACCTAGCAGCTGGGAGCGAGGAGGTACAGCACAGGTAAAGTAGTGCTCCACAGGCTGCAGTTCAAGAGGCGCTTGTCTAAGGCACTAGCTTAAGGGAGCTACTTAATGATAACCAGGATTTTGGCTCAGTGAGGGATTATCTGTTTAAGCGTAGAATAGGCCTGTTAACATTTCTTCCCTGTTCCCCTTTGGGATTCACTGACACTCAGTCCAAGAGGAATTTGTCCAGAGCGGTACACAGACTGCTCAGACTGCACTGCCAGATCCAGAGACCAGTGCGCTTGCATGGTTCCCACTGGAGTGGGATTCCTCTACTGCCACTTTACAAGTGAGGATCATGCTTTCCCCTTCCAGCAGCTCTCAGATGCCTGGTGAAATGTCACAGAAGCCCTAATTTTGGCTCTTCTGCTAATTCTAGTGTGAGAGGCTGTCCTTGGTTCAGGCCATAAACTGCCATCATAAATGTGTAGATACAGCACCGGCTTGACCTGTAGCAGGTCAGGCTATCCCGTCTTAAAAACAAACTGTTCTTGAGCAGTGTCCTGTGTTGGCAAGGTATCTCGGTCCTGGTGCCCCCTCGAATGGCTAACGTGTCGGTGTTCAGTCAGGGCTAAAGCTTCCACGTTGTTAAAATTCCTCTCTTCAGTGCAGTCTTTGTCTTCTGCTCTGAAATGTGTAGGCTGCTACACTGTGATTGGATCTCGATGTCACCTCAAGTACTGTCCTAGCTTGTATTTCTCCTGTCGGTCACCCTTTTCAGAGGGTTGCACTGCAGGCCTTGGCCTAGAGGCGCCTATAGCCATGGCAATCGGGGGAGGAGCAGTCTGGTAGACTGTGGCGATATTTTGCTGTTCGAGAGATGCCAGATAGCGGCTGAAGAGGCTTCCATAATTTAGATAAGCCAGTAAGTTTTAATTATTCCCAGGAATCTGGTTGTGTGCATTCAGAGAAAAGTGACTGTAAGGTTGCTATGTGCTGACCTGTAGCTCACGGTAGCAAATTCCATGCTGTCTCTATTGATCCGCGGAGTAAAACTGTCTATTCAAGTGATGCCTGATCAGCAGTCCTTGGAGTTTGCTGGTTTTCCTTCAGAAATGTTTTCCTGGCTATTGTAGAACACTTGTAAGGACGTGGAAGCTGAAAAGGGAAGGATAATGCCTAAACTGTAGCGCTGTCCTGAGGCCTGAGGCTTCTCCTCAGCTGTTGACTACAGCCATGTTACCTTGTGCAAGTCACTTAGCTTTTCTTTATCTCGGTCTTCCCCTCTGTGAAATGGGATAATAGCACTGCACAACTTCACCAAGGTAGCAGCACTAGGGAGTGTGATAAACATAAAATGGCAGTCATTAACACCACCTTAGTCAAAGTGTGACCTGAAATGGGGAAAATGGAGGAAATGGAAAATGGAGTTCTTGCTTTGCTCTCCTGGCCAGAATACAGTTTCTGAATGTGAAGACAGAGTCCATTGGGCTAGAGCTGATTTCCCTTGAAAGCAAGAGAGTCACAGTTCACAAAAAATCTGTTATCTTTTTTCCTCTCTCCCTTTGAGAGTTTGTAGTCAATCCATTTCCTTTGAAGGAGACATGAGACCTGCTGTGTTTGTGACTTGTGTTCTGCAGGGCTTCAGACACAAACACAAAACTTTTGAAGACTGCAAACACAGAAATAGACTTGTGCTATGTTTTCCTAGCTTGTAACCGGGAAGCGTGAGTAGATGACTGCGAGAAGTGAAGCGCACATGGAAAATTTGGGGAGCCTATAGAAGGGGCTGTAAGGAAATTGAAAAGACATTGAAGAGCAGTGTTCAGGTTTTCTGTAGAGGAATACCAATTCCGCTGAAGGTTTTCCATAATGGAATGGAAGTTTTCATGCATATAACCTAGCAGTTAATAATGAGTATAAGTGCCCACATGCACACTCTGCCCGCTGTCAGCCATCGTTTGTTAGCCATTCAGATTATATACGTATTCAGTGAATACACAGTCAAGTTTCATCGTAGGAGCCTCTGCTCTTCTAACTTACTTTTTTCTGAAAATAATATGAAGATTTGTTTCCAAGTAAACATAAAAGGAAGTTTGGAAATATTATTTAAAGACCTGACCAGGAATGGTTTTGCTTTTTGAAAGCTGGATGCAATGCAAAGGTTGGTGCTTTTTCTTCTTCCCAGTTGTATTTCACTCAGTCACGTGTCAAACAATTACTTCCTGCTGGACCTTTTTGACAAAATGACTTCATGCTGTCCTGTAGCAGGACTTTGAAACTTGCAGGTGGTCACGCACTTTGGAAGGTTGTCCTGGACACTTCATCATATAATTCTGTTCTTAGTGTCGTATGCTCAATATCAAGAATAGTTTTCTTCTCCGCTGGACCTATTATTGTGCTGTGTTATGGTGTGTTCTTTGTTTTGTCTTTTGCTACTGTGGAGCTTTCTGTTTGCCTTAAAGACATCCAGATCAGGATCTCTTCATTTAATAGCAAGAAGGATGTTCTAACGTATTCCATCTGGCATCTCCCAAAGTCAGGTAGTTCCTTTTCTAGTCTGCATCTTGCTAAAAATGAAGATTTTTGCATCAGAATTTTTCTGTTGATGATGCATGGCTGGCTGGCCAAGAATGTATTGATTGTACCTGTCAGTCGCACTAACAGGAAATGAAACATGTAGCCAGTACCACAAATAACTACAAATCTAGATAGGAAGCAGGTACATTGAATATGAAGATTTGGTTTTTCGGAGTAGAGTAGCCCTTCAAAAGATGCCTGGTTGAATTCTCTCCTGCCATCAGAGTGAAATTCTACTGAAGTGAGAATCTGCAGCTGTTAAATTATTCGCTGGCAATTTGTCTGTTTTTTCTCTTGTCTCAGAGGAGTGATATATATACCTAAATATTCTATTTAAATATATATCTATTTATATATATATGACTACTTTGGTTGACAGTGGACACTAGCAAATTGACTTTCTGGCTTTTATAGCTTTAACAATAGCCTGTAGTGCAGATGCAGAAGCTGTCTGATGCATCAACTGGAAGATTTATGGTTGGCCATTGGAAGTAACTTAGTGAAACAGTATGGAATATGGCACAGTGCACAAGAAGACTCCCAAAATACGGCTGAAAACTTTCCAGACAAGGTCCCCTATGCTATAAAGGGAGATGGAAGTAAAAATGAGACTGGGGAAGAGGGAGAGAGAAAACATTGGAAGGAGAGAAGCAAAAATTTCAGAAAATAGTAATATAATCAAGTCTGTTACTTAAAGACTAGCTTTGAACTACTAAGCTACGTCTGTAGTGGCTGTTGTCTGCCTGCAATAACAGATGAGTTGATTTCTTTTTTTTTTTTTGATGAATAAGTGCTGTTAAGTATCAAACTTTTCATTTATTACTGTGTGGCTTTCTTTTCTAATGGTGTAAAAAACCAAATTCTTGAATTGATAAGGGAGCATGGGAAGTTCCCGTGGTTTGAAGATAACTTCTAGCACTTCAGGCTTAAAATCATTTCTAGATGTAGCACGGTACTACATGCGACTAATTTTCTGAAGGCTTTTGAAAAAACAAGAGGGGAAAAATATACTTGGCATTCTGTAGGCATACTGTTGACACAAATGAGACATGTGACTCAAGGAACTGTTTTGTTTAAAAATTTCAAGTAATTTCAGAAATTCTAAACACACAACTTTGTCTATAGATGGTAATGCTTACCTCTGAATATGTTCAAATTTCATGCTGATGGATTGGTAGGATACGATGAAGACTGTGCAACACTTGTGTGCTTTATTGTCCCTTAAAAGATGACATCAAGAGTTTCTTCTAGCTCTTTAAAGTAGAGCTGAAAGTAGAGCAGAAGTGTGGGAGAGTTCCCTGTACTATTTTCACTAGTTCATTTGTGACAAAGATCAGGTATTGAAAACAACACTTTGTCTAACTCTTGAAGAGTTTTTCTTCAGTGTTTAAGCAGGCGCAGTGAATTTAGAGTTTGCAGAGAAGTTTATGGGCGTTCCCGTGGTGGACTTTGAAGAGCAAAGAATCTGGCTTCTCAGAGGACTTTGAGATAAGTTTAGTGAGGAGGTTGTGTCATAAAATGTGGGATCTTGATATTTAAAATAGTTTAGTGTGAAGAATACTCTTAATCTTGTTTTCCCATTCAATCACAGTGCGTCCGTCAAAAGAACGTTCTCTTCCTCAGCTCTGGTTTCTCCGTTATACTCCAAGTTAGTGTAATGGTAATTTGCCTGTAGAAGTACTGATACAATCTCACCGCTGTGTGTATGTTTGGTTTGTAGTCAGATCCCTTGGTCTATTTTGTAATGAAAAGATCTGTTCCAGATGCTTAGCTGTTTACAGTTTTGGAATTAATGCTTATAGGTGGCAAGACAGAAAAATACTCCTGCCTACTGATCAATGATGTCTTTTTCTAAAGCAATTGTTTTTTCTTTTCTAATTTGTTTAGTCATGCCTATGCATGATTAGAAGCAAATTTAATCATATTGTGGGCTTTACCTGAGAATTCTTATAGGCTGGAATACAGATTCTGAAAACATGAAGGTAGTAGCTTTTTGTTATGGTATATTAATATGACTGAGTTCTGGATCTAAAAAGGACCTTTTAATTTCGTGGCAAATGAACTTGACATTAGAACTGTGATTAAAATTTGCCGTTTTCAAGCTGGCTTTTCCTTAATTGATAGAATACAATGGTGACTAATCTATAGAGGTGGGATTAGGAACTATCAGAAGGACAATACTTTCATGCTGTTGACAATATTCCATCAAACAAATCACTACAGCTATGTTGGACAAGCACAAGCATCAGTTGAGTAAGTGAAAATTTGTCTTGTGGTGTAAATGATGGATTTGTGTGTCTCGGACAAATGTGGAAAACGGATTGGTCTTTGGATGTCAGCATCCAAAAACTCAGTAGGTCATAGATTTTAAGTGATGCTAATTTGACAAGACTGCACCCTTAATGCTTGTTTTTCTATTATTATTTGTTGTCTTCTATTACTTCTTATAATTTTGCAACTATCTTAATTTTTTTGCAGGTTGGGAGGTCAACAGAAAGCCCCATAGACTTCGTAGTAACAGATACAATTTCCGGCAGTCAAAACAATGATGAAACTCAGATTACACAGAGCACCATATCACGTTTTGCATGCAGGATTGTTTGTGACAGGAGCCCACCATATACAGCAAGGATTTTTGCAGCTGGATTTGACTCTTCTAAGAATATATTTCTTGGTGTAAGTGCTACTAATAACTTTACATATGAGCAAAATCTTCTTTTTTCTGTGTTATCTTCAAGCTGCAAAATTCCCTTTCACTAGTTGATATGTTCCACTGGGGTGATAAATCTTACGCCAGTGTATCAGCCTCAATGTTAAGGAGAAACTGCAATTTTATGTGCCAGATTTAATACCACCCGTGGACTCATGGTGGTAATTGTCTTTAACAATAGAGTTCTACTTCAGCAGCTCTGGATGTTTTTTCTTTAAGTTTGCTTGCTATATTCTTGATACTCATTGTGAGTTTAAATTACTGTGATAGCTTTGGGTGCTGAAGACCAGAGACATGTCAACCACATGATACAAACCAAATGTGCACATTGCACTAATACTCTGTTACAGTGGTTAGGAGTATCTGTGTTAGTATTGCCTTTGAGGTGAGTAAAGAAAGCACAAGTCTCAACTCTGACCTGACCTGCAGTCAGAGATGCTCTTCAGCTGGGTTAGAAGTAACAATAATTGAAGATTCATAACAAGTTCTTACCACTGTAAGACTGACAGAAGATATGTTTTAAAACGCTTTATTTAGAAATCTGTCTAAGCGCTGCTGGCTAGTGAGGAAACGTTGCATTTTAGACGGTGTTGGTAAAACTGTGGACTTATGTGAGTAAAACGTAAGAGTCTAAAACTCTTAGACAAACTTTTTCCTGGGGTGGTTGTCACATGCAGGAAAAAGCAGCAAAATGGAAAAATCCTGATGGCCACATGGATGGATTAACAACCAATGGTGTGTTGGTCATGCATCCAAAAGGAGGGTTTACTGAAGAGTCGAAACCTGGAGTTTGGCGGGAGATCTCAGTCTGTGGTGATGTGTACACTCTCCGTGAAACCAGATCTGCTCAACAAAGGGGGAAGCTGGTAAGTCGGAAGTAAACTGGTAATTAAAACAGAATGAGGGATGCATATTTTCTGGCACTGAATGGATGCAGTCATGTTGTAACTGCAGAACAATAGCCTTGTCCCTGGGTGGGGGGCATTGCAATCATTTGATAGATGTGTGCTACAGTAAATTTTGTACTGCTATTCTGTTTCTGCTTGTACAAGATGTCTTAATTTTTCTCTTAACATCACTTTTCCAACTGAAATAGCATGTAGTTTAAAACCTGAATGAACTTTGTTCTGGAATCTCCAGTTCTTAAATGTCTTCCTGGGAACCGGGAGGATCTGGAAGTTAGTGCTGAGAAATACAGCTCTGTGTATACTGTTTCAAAAGGAAGAGTCAACTTGCATGCAAGACTGGTGTGGATATTTACAGCTTCTTTTTGATTTACCTGCTACTAGGATGATAAGAGAAACCCTGCTAAGTAGATACCTACATCGTCCTACAGAACAGGGTTAACTTTGCCTTTGCCAAAACCAAAAAGTTTCAGTTGTCACTGAGACCTGCGGCATAAAGAACTGGAACAGAGGTTCCCATGAAAACGTGCTTGTTTCCCCATAGAAGCTGGGAATCCCCATGGCTCTCCCTGCCTTCCCACTTCCCAAATCTTGATGGCCTAGGAAGGAGGTGCTATGCTTATTTTTCCTCTCATATTCCTTCACCTCCAAGTAAAAGAAAACAAAACTGCACCCTTAGAAGCTAAGAAAATACACAGCCAACCCTGTTCAGTCAAGCAGATGAGCTTTCACAGAAGTACTTTTTGGGCTTCTAATCTGGATCTGGGTAGGTTAGAATACTGTCCTGTCTGCAGACTGGGAAAAGCCTTCATGATTCACCCTTGCTGCCCTCCTTTATGAGGGAGACTCTCCCTCTCTCTCCTTCAGGGAGCGAGAAGATGTTTTGAGAGCCTTCACAGCCAAGGAAGATGCCCCTTTTGTAACTTCACCATCCAGCTGCTAGACTTTAAAGACTGTGAAAGTGCAGGGATGGGGAGTGGGGAGAACGTCCCCCTCTTCTGTCCTGAAATGTCATTTGTGCTGCAACCTTCAGTGCATTAGTTTGCTGGTGTTGTGAAGGTTTCCTGTACACTCCAGCTGCACTGACTTTCCAGCTTTGCCATTTGCTTTGCAGAAAACCGACTGCTTAAAGGGCTTAGGAAAATGGAGTTTGAATATCTTGTTCTGCTTTCAGTTGACAGCCTGCACTCATAAATTGCTTTGCCACTTTAATGGTGGCAGGCAAATATTGCCTCGGGGGCTGGGACAGATGATGTTGCGATTGCGCCCTTTGTACGTGGTTAGCAAAACACCTTATTAGTGCTGCTAAAGAAAGGCAGCGCTAAAACAAATAAATTCCCTCTCCTGCATCCACGATGACTTGAATTCTCATTTAAATAAAATTACATGGCACACTGGTATTGATGTGATCAGTATTCGTTGATTGGGTCCATAAAACCAAATGCACACTGTATAATGAATTGAACACACTGCATACTAGGAAGCTTTTTGCTCTTCTGTTTGTGAAGGAATTATCCGAGAGGTGCACCGAATCAAGGATTCTCTCATCTCTGCACCAACCACTGAATTTTTCTGCTGGTGGCCCTTTATAGGGGTGACTTTATCTGTAGTCTCTATTGTATCATCTACGTGTTTTGTGCAAGGATGATCCACAGTAAATCTGTGAATTTCAACGGGATTAAAATGTAAATGCCAAATTGGTTGTCGTTCTTAGTATTCTCATGCAGACGTGATGATTTCATGTGACCTACTTAATGTCCAGGCTGTTTGTTTGGCTGTAGTTGTATTTTCTACCCGCTTTCTATGTACAAAGCTGGGCAGCTGGTCTGTTTTTATTTGATTTAGGAAAGATCCTTTTTAATATATATTCATCACTACTAGACTAATAGCAATAGCACAAATTGCCTATGTGTTTGTTGACAGCAAAACAAATTTGAGAATAATTCACTAAAGTACAATGTGTGTGTATGTTTAGCATAATCTTTTGAGACTGTGTTATAAGTACCTGCTTTTATTCAGATGAGAGAAACCTTTGGGCTATGCTCACTGGGCTTGTACCTGCTTGTTATACCTCATTGAATAAAGGGCCTGTTTTTTTTTGGGGGGGAGGTTATTTCTTTGGAAGCTGAGCCTGTGTGGCTTCAGTTGCAGAACTTGTCACTTGAAAAATTCAACTGGTAGTTCACTGTATGCTGTAATGATAATCTATGGGAGCACCTGTGAGTGTGGCTGGTGTTGCGTTTGTCTTCCATTTATCATTAATGGATCTGCAGAAAAGTGTTCCACTGCTGATTATGTACGCTGTGGGAGTTCGTGCTTCTGCAAAATGCTTTGTGCTTGCCACGAGTTGAAAATGGTATATGAGTAGCAGGACAGCTGGTCTGTCCTGGCTCGCAGTTTTTAATTGAAAGAGGATATTTTGCTGCAGGAACAGCTCTTTGCTCATCTACATGGGCAAAGAATTCCAGGGAGCAATCTGGCTGCTCTGCTAATACAGCCCTTAGGGAATAGCAAGTTTCCTCTTCAGTCTATCAGGACTTACCGTAGACCTGGCAGAGGCATATAGAAAATCAATATTAAAGACAGAGGAAATAATAGTATTCTCAAAGGTGGGGAGGGGGTTCTGAAAAAATTTGCCTGAAGGATTACTTTAGGAAAGGTATTAAAGGAAAGAAAACTTGTGCTATGGCAATACTAGTTATTGCACACGAACTACAGATGCAGATTTAGGACCTTGTGTACAAGCACAGAATAAAGACCCATGCTCCCTATAATCTAAATGTAAGACAAGAGACGGATGGATTTGGACAGGGCACCACAAGGAAACAATACAACAAAATGAGTTAGTATGCTAGGTAGGGGTAGCACCGCGGCGAGGAAGAGGACACCTTCCTCCTTGATCCGTAAAAGTGGCATCTCAGACTTAACTACTTACTCTTGTGTTCTACCACTAGGTAGAAAATGAGACCAACGTCCTACAAGATGGTTCTCTTATTGACCTGTGTGGAGCCACCCTTCTGTGGAGAACAGCAGATGGACTGTTTCACACTCCAACTCAGAAACACATCGAAGCTCTGCGTCAGGAGATAAATGCTGCCAGACCACAGTGTCCTGTTGGGTTAAACACTTTAGCATTTCCCAGCATCAACCGTAAAGATGTGGTAGAAGAGAAGCAGCCTTGGGCATACCTCAGCTGTGGTCATGTTCATGGCTATCACAACTGGGGACATCGCAGTGATACAGAAGCCAATGAGCGGGAATGTCCTATGTGCAGAACCGTTGGCCCCTATGTGCCTCTCTGGCTCGGTTGTGAAGCAGGCTTTTATGTGGATGCTGGTCCTCCAACTCATGCTTTCACCCCGTGTGGACATGTGTGCTCTGAGAAGTCTGCGAAATACTGGTCTCAAATTCCTCTGCCTCATGGTACTCATGCATTTCATGCTGCCTGCCCTTTTTGTGCAACACAGCTATCTGGGGAACACAACTGCATCAAACTAATTTTTCAGGGTCCAATTGACTGATACCATTTTGCGGTGACCACAATAACACGTTCTTTAACAACTTACTGTGAAGATTTTGCCACTAACTCTAGATTTTACCTTTTTTATAATTATTAATAGAGAGGTAGAGCGGGGATGGGGAACTGACAAGGAAATTGTGAGGGACCGTGGTGAAATGGGATACATTGATACCTGGAACTTGACAGATATCAGTGGTGTTGCGTGCTCAAAAGCAGCATATCCATTAAGTCTTCTTGGTCAAGTTGTAGTATATTTGTAATCTTTTTATTAGTACCCTGGATCAGAAAAAGGTGTCTTACTGATTTTTTTTTTTTTTTAAGCTAAGATTTTTTTCATGGAAAGGTTTTTTCTTCTAAACTTTGACAAGCCTTTAAAACCTATTTTTTCAAAGCTAGAAGGAACGTACAGAATGCAACTGTCTTTAATTTGCAATATAATTTAACTTGAATAGTTTCTCAAGGAGCTAATACAGAATGTGTGGACAACCATAGGTGAACGTTCACTAGTGATAATTGGTTATGTAAGAGAGAAGTTAACTGCCTAAATTGTAGAGTAGAAATGCTATTAAAATATCTGTTACGGTATAACACAGCTGGCCAAAAAGGCATCAAGGATTACTTGAAACTGAGGAAATCCCGTTTGCATTGATTTCCTTTCAGTGTAATAGATATCCACTGTTCCATATGTATGGTATATGGCCCTTTTTGTTTGATTTTTGTTTGTTTTTGTTTTGTTTAACCTGCATCTGGTGAAATCACTTTACTTTTTTACATGCATAGTTCTGGGTTTCAAGCCAGTGTTCTGTATACGTATAGTCTGGCTTTTTTATTTCTGCTTAACTTAGCCTGCTCTAACTGCTCCTTGCATGCCCAGAATCATTGGGTTAAGTGAGATGTAGCAAGCCTTTAAAAACTGCATTACTGAAGGGGTAGTACCGCAGCAAGACAGAAAGTTTAGGTACTATATATGCAGAATTTATTTACATAGACCTGAATTCAGGAGAGCACTTAGTATGTGTTTAAATATAAGCCCATGGATGGGACTGTTTAGGTTCTCAAGTGCTTCAATGGATTGTGGTTATCCGCTGTTGTGTTTGAAAATAAAAAGCAGTTGAAAATAAGCTTTTTCTTTTTAAGCTCACTTACTAGCCAAAATGCTGTGAGAAGAGCATCCTTTCTAGTTCAACTGAGTATTTTTGTTCAGTTTTCAACTTGCTGCCATCTGTCACCTTTTTTTGCAGATCGAGATGTGTTTGTATCTGTTTTTTTTTTTCCTTCAAATGTTTGGAAGTCAAACAATTCAAATGTAATCAAATATATGCATCAGGGTGGTACATCTGAAGTAGATCACTTGAAATTTCTGACTTTTTAAGGGAGCTTATAAATGTTTACTATGAAAATAAATAAATCAGAATTTCATAGGAGATGTACCGCTCCTACTGCTAGTTTCATTTCATATAGAATAATTACTCCTTGATTTTTTTTTTTATTTTTTTTCCTATACTCTTGGTATCTGAGGTATCAATATATCCAGGTTTAAAAAAAAAAAAAAAGAAGAAGAATTTGGGAGAAAAATCATAACATCGCTAGATGAAATTGATCATTCAAATTCAGTTCTGCTTCATCAACTATAGCTTTTTGCTATATTTGTGCCCTTTGTATAAATATATAATTTATATGATTTTAATATATTCTGTATATATACTTGAATTGGCCTGTTCATATTTTGGTTGTAAAATTGTTTTATGGTTAACCTTATAAACATTTTACATGTCCCTTGCCAGTGGTTATGGGACATACTTTATCTGCTGCTGTTTTTAATATAATTTTGCTGTATAAATGTTCAGCGTTTTAATACTTTGAAAATAGCTTTACTTTTCTTTTTATTCTCTTGCTGTAAAAAAGTGTTTTGTTCTGCAGCATTTTCTCGAAAAATCCCATACTGTACAGTTTTTTTCCCCACTCAGTGACTGCAAATAGGATGAATCCTGTAAACCTAGAGCTATATGCTTCTTCCTAGTGCCTTTTCAATGAGATCCTCTTGTGAGTCCGTATTCCAAGTCCTTATTCCCACAAGACAGTCTTGTGGCTAATCTTCATCGAGAATGGCAGTCCAGCCAGACTGGGAAAGAAGTGCTTTTGGCCTTCAATACCTTGTCTTGGCTTCAGGCATAAACATGAGGGTGCCTCTTCCCTGTCTCTATTCAGCGTTAAGTTCCTCAGGTCCCATGTGCATTCTGCAGCATTGTTTCTATTCAGCATATACCTCATCTGTGAGAGGCAGAGTCACCTCCACCTTGTTCATAGCAGACTCTCTGAAATACTTGAGTTATTTCACACGAGATGCTATAGAAACACACTTTCAGGAAACGTTTGCTACCGAGTTCGGGCCGCAAGCCTTGTGTTAAGGCTGCGGCCAGAGTTCTCCAGCTCTCGTCCTCGCCAAGCTCCCTGCGCTCCACGGCTCTGGCTGGCAGCCGCTCTCCTGGGTGCGGGCTGATCAGGATTTGCATGCGTGGTCTCCCTCTGAGACTAAAGGGACTATAAATGTGCAGGTTCCATGGCTTCTCCACATCAAGCGTCTTCACTTTTGTCCTTTGCAGTTACAGCCTAATTGCTGCTTTGGGGCTTCATCTGCCCATGCCCTGTGCAAAGTGAATGTACAACGTTAGAGCTGTTGCTGGTAATACTTGCACACCATCTGCTTTGGGGGTGATTGGCTTGCATGAGGTGGGAGACTGGCTGATGGCGTGTATCTGAGAGAAGGGTTCTTTTGAAAGATTGTATTAAGTGAGATGTTTTTGTTTCTTTCATTGCCAGCAGTTCTGTAGTAACACAAGAAATACTGCAGGAAGGAAAACTCTTTATCTGGGAAACAAACTTCCACAGTTCTTTTGCACGAATGCGGGTACTTTGCCATTAACCTGTATTCAAATCTAGGATGAGTCCCCACAGAGCTGGGTTTACTGAGAAGACAAAGGTGTTTTTTGCATTATTTTTCTCAAGCAGCACTGCTATATGTGCTGCTCTGCTCAGATGAAATGTTTGGCTGCTTATCTGTTTTCTCCTTCCCTTGTCCTAGCAAACACACCTCTTTACTAGTCTGGTAACTCAATTGGGAGGAAAAAGTTTCTGGATAAATGAGAACAATTCTGTTCAGAGGGAGTAAACTTGAGAACCACACTCGAACTTTTGTGTTTTGGAAGTCTGTTTCATGATGTCAGTGTTACCATGTTTCTTGCATGCTGTTCCAAGAGCTGGCAATAGTGTATTCTGTAAGGATTATTTTTTCACCTGTTACTGTTGATTCTATTTGTATGCTTCAAAAAACAGCTTTTACCGCATAACTTTTAGCGAAAAGTATTTTTCTAGGCTGATCTTAAAAAAAAAAAAAAAAAAAAGAAGTGGGAGAGAAAGAAGAAGAAAAAAAAACTTTTCATACCCATACGCACTGGAGCTGTAACACATCCCACTTTCCTGTCTCCTGGCAGCTTCTTGATAAAGTGCTGAGGTCTAAACAGTGAACTCAGCAGTAAGTTGTGTTCTTGTTTGAGCTGTGGTCCAAATTGTACCACAAAAAAAAATCCCTAGCACAGTACTGCATTTTAATCAAGATCCTTTTTTCACTTTACACCTCAGGGTAGCTTGGCTTCGTAGTTAAAGAAGGAATTTTTCTTTGTGAGGGTGGCGATTGGCCTTAAGGGAGAAGAAGGCCTTTGGCAGGCCTCTTTCATGAGGGCAACAGGCCCCCCTTGAAGCAAAGACTTGCCAATAACAGATAAGAAATGACCGTAGCTGTTCCCAGTTTCAAACCATGAAAAGGACTCTCTTCAAGTCTGTAGGAAGCTCCAGGATGGATTTCAGAGGTTCTGATCTTCTGAACAGAAGGCTTTGGTCATTGTAATGACAAATTCTGGAGTTTTAGGATTCTGTTTGGGAGCATGGCCAGGGAGCAGAGGTGCTAAGTGCATGCTTCCCTGAAATGCTGAGTGTATAACAGTGAGAAACTGCAGTTTCTGAATAAAAAACTTCCCTCTCCACACACCATCCAAAATAAACTGTTGGCTTGAACTGTGGTAACTCTCCCTTTTGTGCTGTTGCAGTAGCTGGTAAACTTGCGGCTCACTGTTTTTTCTGTCATTATGTATTCTTTTGAAAATGGAGGCTTCTCCAAGAGAGTCACATTTCTGTCCATCCTGCTCATAGCCTTGGCATTTTTAGGGGGTGTCAGAGACCTATTGGTAGTGATTTGGCTGTCGTTGGAACAGATGTAGATCATTAAATGTTTTTAGTTTGTTAAGAAATTTGACCTGGCTTAACTACTTACTGCTCTTGTTTGAAGGTGAGCTGCAAATAACCTTTTTGAAACAAGCTGTGCCTGCCTTTATTCCTTGTAAAGGATCATTGTACTGCGGGTGGTGAGTCTCGGTTTCCCTAAGATTGTGGGTAACTTGCTGTGTTGGATGTGAAGTGAAAGCTCCCGTGGAATCGGCAATTAGAGCTGTTGATCCCAAAGCAGTTCAGAAGCGGCTGTCCGTCAGGCACTTGAGTTGGATTAACGTGGACAGCCCCAATGTTGGGGAATGTTCTGACAAAGGATTCTTCCTTCTTTTTATTCGCTCAGTTGTTAACCTCTTGTGAAATCTTCATTCCTGTCATCTTCCATTCATCTATGTAGTTGCAGGTAAACAAGGAGATATAACTTGGAGAGGAAAAAAACTATGAAAGTGAGTCTAAACAGACATTTTCAGGCCTGCTTGCCTCTTCAAGGAAAGCACGAATGTGAGCTCCAAAATTCTTTGGAGATTTGCTCATTAGTCTGATTTTGTAGGCAGTCTTCACACCTGGTGTTGTGAATTAAAAGGAAAAACTTAAAGATAAGGCTGATGGGGGAGAGGTTTCTAGGAATAAAAGTGGTCAAAGTTCTGCAGGCGTTGTGCAAACTAAGTCGCACCGACTGCAGCAGGCGTTTTGGTCTTGCAGGAGCTGCAGAGTCAGCCTCTGGGTAGCGAAGATACAGCTTTACAGTCTTTGTTCTGAGTTTGTTTTTGCTGGCAGCACAACAAAAGTGTAAGTTGCTTGGACAACCAAACTACAAAAATTGTTGTCTAGGTTGTTTTTTCTCTTCTTTTTTTGACAGGGCATATTTATAATTTCCTGATGGGCAAACCGATCTTCAGATCGCCTTGAAGTCCCTTCTGTTTGTGTCATGGATAACAGGTGGTTAGGGATGGCTATTGTTTTTCTCTTGGATCTAATACGTTATGAAAAGCCCCTGGAAGGCTCATTCGTCTTGTGATGCAGCTATAGGAAAAGGCTCATTCACACGGCGAGCCCTGTATGACGGAGAAGTTATGTTTACCTTTATACAATGTTAGCAGCTGTTAAACTTCTGGGTATATTTGTAAATTGGTCTTTTATACACCATGTGAAATGGACTGAAATAATTTCTTTGCTGTTGTACCTGTGGAAGTACAAGCCATTTTACAGGAAAAAAAAACAAAAAAAAAAAAAAAATACTCTCTCTTACTGGATGGTTGTTAGTGTTTAATTTTGAATTGAAAAAACACATGAAAAACTGAAAACAAACAGTTTTTCGTACCCTTTTATCTCCTTTATTTTATTCCTCAAGAAACAAACAAAAAAAGAACCCCTTTTGATTAAAGGTTCTTAAGTATTCAAGGTAGTAGAGTGTGTTCAGGTGCGAGTACCCTGAAATTTCAGTTAATTCACTTCCCTAATTTTAAAACTGAACTGTTTGTTTTCAATGCCAACTGCCTTCTTGCAGTGTTAACATAATTGCTAAATAAAAGCAACTTCCAGGAATAATATGCTTTGTAACTGTTAAAATTAATTTCCATAATGGTAATTCAGTGGTTTTTTTGCATCTGTATTTTTTCCTTTTTGTATGCAGTCCCTGAATGCAATACGTTTTTTTGTTATTGTTGTTTCTTTTTTAACATGGGCTAAAATGGATTGTCTGACTCTTTTTGGTAAGTAGAAAAGGTTGCTGTAAACCTGGGAAATAAAAATATCTGTAACTTTTTCTAAATGTGGGTCATCTGCCAATTTGCTATAAGGCTGCTTTGTAATTGAAGAATATTAAATACTTTTCAGGGAAGATGCTCCCAAGGGAACGGGAGAAGGGGAAGCTTTGCGTTATTTGTATGTAGGTGTGCCCATCTATCAGTAGTAGAGAGAAACATTTGTTCCCTGTGGGACCCTTGCTTTCTGTGTAGGCACCAGCTTTGTTTCAAGGCACCTTAACTGTGCTTAAAGTTACCTTGGACATACGTTGTATAGATGCTAACAGACTTAAGTATCTGGTATGTAGGCAACTTGGTGCTTTTTTGAGTAGGGCTTCTGTAAGTAGGAAGCTTCCAACATACTGTAGGAAGTATGTTGAAAAACCACTCTACAGTTAAAGAAAAGCCGTTCGTACCTGCCCAAGCATACGGGCAGTGCTAATGCTGTTTTCGTTGAGCAGTTGGGAGGTGTAATAGGAGTAGTAGTTCTGTTGGGGACCATCAGGTCAGAGTAGAGAAGCTGTCAGGTTGCCTTGGTGGGGCAGTGTTTTCTGCTGATCTCTAAAGAAGGAGACAAGCATCAAAGCAAGAAACAAAGACTGAGATAGAGGAAGAGGGAG